GCCACTGAAGTATGACCTGCAATAACAATTGCCATTTGCTTCAGCTGCAGAAAGCTAATGCTCCCACTGACCTGGCTGGGACCAGCATTTGGCACGAGCGAGCATGAAGACCTAGGGAAGTCTGGTGTACTCACTTTAATGTTAATACCACCTCAGTTGTGATACATTCCCCCATCCTCCAAAATCCAGTTTTCCATACCGTTATTTCTCCTGTAAGATGATACAGGATCATATTTTCTGTAAGGCTGAGTAAAATTGTAGCGATGCCAGCACAGTGGAACGACTTTGAGGAAAACCAGAATTACTCCAAGCAAGGATTTCTCAAACTGACAGACACAACTGCCCAGACCTGCTGAGGTCCCACACACATGGGGTCGCCTTCATCTCAGTTCTGCATTTCTAGCTGCTATCCTCCCCATTGACATAAGTCAAGTGCGTTTCACCATCACAGTTACTAGCTACAGAGACATCTGGCTGACCTGGAGTCGCTCCATTTATTCTTCTTGAGCAGATGTCAGTAAAACTTTTCAGCAGAGCTTTGGTAACCCTGCTCTGGGGGATTGCCTCCACTGAAAACGTGTTGCTTTAGGCGAGTTACATCATTGATTGTGTATTAAACTGCTACAACATCTGGATAGAGACACTTTTATAGAAGGTGCTTGGATCTAATACCTAAAGGTGATACAGGAAATCTGGAGAGGGGCTTTTGACAAGGGCAGGTAGTGACACGACAAGGGGGGATGGCTTTGAACTGACAGAGGGGAGATTTACTGAATGGGGCTTTGAGTAATGTGGTCTAGTGGAAGGTGTCCTCATCAGTGGCAGAGGGTTGGAAATATACGAGCTTTAAGGTCCCTTCCAAACCAAACCATTCTGTGATTCTATGATTATCTGTCCCTTTTATTTGGATTCCATGCATTGACAGCAAAAAGACTGGGGGCTGGCACCTACAGTCCAGCAGGAGAAGTCTTCTACCCAATTAAATCACACTGATGTCTAAAAAAAGTTAATGCAATTCAGTAGCCCGGACACAGTGTGACACACCAACATGTACAGTGTATTTCAAACACCTACATGCTGTTAAAAAATCGTAGGAAATGTACTTGAAAGGAATTCTTCTACTAATGACAGGTCAAGAAAGAATTTCATTAGCCTCAAGAACAAGGGGGAGAAAGAATGTCCTTTATTTTACACTTGTGTTCCTCTAGTGTGACATTTTATCACCTAGTCTTGAAGTTCTGAAGCAAAGGCAAAGAAACTGCACACTCATGTCATCCCCTTTTTCTAGAACTGTTAATTTGACATAAATGTCATGAAGTGAAGGTAAAAATATCTGGACACAACTGTTAAGAGCTCATATTTCATTTCTGCACAGGTGAGAAGAAAACCCCATGCCATTTACAGCCTCAATTTCCAGCTTCCCTTATCAGCCACTGACTGAAAGTAGCTGTTACTACGTGCACATACTGAGTTTGCAAGTAGCTTGAGAACTGCAATTTGAGCCCCAGTAACTAGAAATATGTATTTAAAAAGAAAAAAAAAAAAAAAAAAAGATTACAGCAAGAGTCTAATAAGTCACTCCCATTACTCCAATATGGGAGTGAGCTGTGCCCTCAGGGAAGGCTACCATCAGCAACCTGAAGTATGGCTATCTACAGAACAGACATAACACAAGCTGAAGGCACAAAGTTACTTCCATGGCATTATTATTGCCTTCAAGGAACTGCTTTCAGGGCAACGAGATTGCTGCCAGACCATTTTTTTCCCTTGTTTCCACTGTTAAAGGTGTTGACAAACATGGTGAGCCCTAGTGATGCACCACCTTGTCCAAGATTTGACCTAGGTCATAAAACTGATTTTTACACTGCCCAAGCCATCACCTGCTGGTAACTGCTTGGAGCTTCAGGCAGATCAGGTGAAGATGCTGGACACCTCTCAGATCTACAAACACCCTTTTACATTTTTCATAGAATCATAAAATGTTTGGGGGTGGAAGCGACCTTAAAGATGATCTGGTTGCAACACCCTGCCAGCAATAAACCCCCTTTCCTAGGCACTGGGGTTAAAGCTAATAAAGGTACTCAGCAAATTTAGAAGGCAAGGGCCCTAACTATTCTATGATTCTATGACATACAAACCTTCTGTAAGATGTGCAACACCGAGTTACAAGTGGTAAAGGAAAAAGCAGGGTGGGAACATGTTCTCAAAAACTTGACCTTCCTCCCATTTCCACAACTAAATCCTGGGATCTCAATTGCCCCCCACCCCCCACCGATTCCACCTCTACGTAGAACTGAAGTTAATCCTTATAAACACACAACTTCAGGCTGATCTCAAATTGCAGTGTGCTTGCAGAACTATCATTCAGCAAGGATGGTACATTTTGAGGTGTTCCATGTCAACGCCAGGTCAATGCATCTTCCCAGAGGTCACATTCCTGTTTTCCTAGCCTGCAGAGTGACCCTTCTTGACTGAAAGGATCTTTATGCATGGAGGAGTATCTGACACAACCCAAATCGATATGCTACTGGAGCATATGACAGCAGGATAAAGGAGGCCTTTGAAGATCATGGAGGAGTACGAAGGGGTGTTAATTTAAACGGCTTGTCAGTATACCCAAGAGCAGAAGGAGAGCAAAGTATCAATTAATAACTCACACTTCTATTCCACATGTTATCATAGTATTTCAAAACAGTTTGCAAACATTGATTAAGTCTCACAACATCCCCCTGTAGCAGACAGGCACAGATGAAGCTCTGCTCCTACCAGCCAGGATGTCATTTTCTGGGAGCAATTCTCTTAGTTGATCTATGCCCCCTCTTCTCCATCTGTTAAATGGTGATAATGACAATATCATACAGGGGTTCAGAAGCTCAGTGATGTCTAAATCAACACATTTTTAGATAGAAAAATAGCACAAGGGCAATCTTGTGTGTCAGACTACACTCTATTACACTAGTAACACATCTAGTGGGAAGAAAACCCTCTATCTTGATTTCATAATACCCTACAGATTTGCTTTGCTGTCCCTAAGTACCCAGAACACTTGAGTTCCAGCTAATGACCTTGGGTACTGTGTTAACATAAAACACATTGTAATTACAGTAATTAGATCTGCTGTAGAAAGAATCATGAGAAATGAAAGACTGTCCACAGCAGCCTCTAATTCCCAATTAACACAAAGCAGTTGCTGTGTTCAGAAGCCAGGACAGACATACCCGTAGCTGCAAACTCCGGAGGGAATTGTCATTTACATTCATATGGGAAGCAGAGCACGTTATACTGTTTAATCCTTACTTTGAAAGACAGGTACACAAGACTCGTCCACTTACAGATGGTGAAATGGCAATTTGGGGAGGCTCTAAGCTGCCAAAGGCAATCACACACACTCCTCGCAACCAGCAATTCCTTTTGAGAGCTCCTTATTCCCAACTCTGTACTTGGACTCTTAATAAACACACACACCCCAAAAAAAACCCCAAAAATCTACAAACCACCAAAAAAACCCCCACCAACCCAAAAGCCATCACTGCTCTAGTCTTAATGAGAGAGTTCCTTCTTTCTTGTTGGGGGCTCTTTCTTTCCTTGGGTATAGAATCAGACAGAATTACTTTGCTTAACCCTCTTTATTAGTCTGACTTTCCAGAAGGACCAAAGACAAAGACAGAAGTAACAGCTCCATGAAATCCAGCTCTTTTCTTCTCCTGAGCTTGACAGTCACTTCCAAAAGCAGATTGTCATGACAACCACCAAACTGGAGGCAATCCAGGCAATTAATCTGCAGAGGAAACACTCATCCCAACCTTGGAAAAGAACACTGCTGCTCTAAGCTTCAGAAGCCAAAGGAACAAAAAAATAAAATAGAAACCCAACAAGAAACCCTAGCACCCACATTAATCTTATTAGGCTACCTAATCATTTGTTAACCTCAAATCATTCATGCATACTTCATGTTTTATAAACCACTGTAGTATTAAGTTATAGAAAACAAACAGAGGAACAGTACATGTAGACTTCTAGTGTAAGTTAAGAAGGAAAAAAAAAAGCCAGATTGCATTTTGAGATTCTTAAAATGGAGATTCTTAAAAGCGGATATAAATGTATTGCACAAAATTGGCTTTAAACCACAGAAAGAACTACGCAAATAAAATATGATTATTTCTAACCTATGAAATAATCTGGCTCCAATTATTTGGATATAGCAAACCTTTATTGATTAAAAAAGGGGGCAGATTTAGAATCTTTCAACTTTTACCCCTTTGGCCTGATGTTCCTTATTTCCCTAGTTCATGCCCCATCCCTGGCAGTGTTCAAGGCCAGGGTGGACGGGGCTTGGAGCAGCCTGGTCTACTGGAAGGTGTCCCTGCCCGTGGTACTGAGCTGGAACTAGATGGTCCTGAAGGCCACTTCCAATCTAAACCATTCTAGTATTCCATGATTCTTACAGGACTCAATACACAGCTACTTTCAAACAAAAATTTTCTTCCCTATCCTCATCCTTTTCTCTAAATATAAACCCAAGGCAAGGTAGGAATAATTTTTTTCACTGCATACTTGTCCTGCAGTGAAACATGCCTTCCGGAAAGTAACTGAGCAATGATGATATAAAGCTTTAAGCCTACACAGATTTACTCATCTAGTAAACAGACAGACCACTGAACTACTTCAAACTGAAGTTTTGCTACTTGTTCCACTGGGTCCAATCCATCTCCTAGAAGTCACTAAATGGATTCCCAGCAACTTCAGCAAGCACTGGATCATAAACACTTCCTGCAAAAGTGCATTTCTATTCATCTGAAAAGGATTCCAGTCTTCTGAGCACTGAATATGAAACATGCACACACACACTCCCCAGCTCACTCTCATTAGCTGCAGAATTCAGAAACCACAGCTCTAGCCCACAGAGGATGCCAACAGAATCATATTTGCTCCTGAGCCTGGTTCTGTGTTAAATGGAGTTGGGATAATATTGCAGAAAAGGATCAAACTCCAGTGCCTACCTTGGGGGCTTTCACAGCTCTCTTCATCACTGTTGTCTTGACAGTTATTTTGACTGTCGCACACAAAGCTCTTATCAATGCAAAGACCGTTTCTACAGTGGAACCGGGCAGTAGAGCAAAGCAAGGGATTTGCTGCTGCAAAAAGAGAGTGAAATCTTCCATTAGAGATTCTCTTACCCAGACAGTGAAACAGCCGTTCAGCAATCAAAGACAACAGGTCACAACTCAACAGTTGGTCAATTTGCTGAATATGTGGGAGTAACTTGGCAATCAAAGCAACCTTGTCTCTCTAAACAGAGAGATGAAATTCCTAATTCATGCAGGATTCATTACCATTAGCAGGGATTCAGTCCACCCACAGTTGTGATAAGCCTTCTGTTCACTCTCAGGAGAGCCCCTGTCACAATCACTGCTCAGTATTTGCGCACACTGAAGACATATGGAGGGCAACACTGCCTACCATAAACACTGCCTGTTGCTTCCCATCGCAACAAACTCTGTCTAGCTCAAGTTTCAGACTACAAGCCAACAACCCTGGCTGAGAACTGCTAAGCTGTGCTTTATTTCCCTCTGCTTCTGTCTTTTTCCACCTTCCCCATTCTCCTCATTCTTTTGAATTGACAGAATGGCAATGTAGATGTTTTTCAATTTTTCAGTGTTTGAGTTTCAACCCCTCGAAGGTAATACACGCGCACATTCCAACAGCGCCCAGAAAACCCTTTCACATAAGGCCCAGTGTTGCATACAGAGCAAAACCAGAACAGTACTTAAGCAGACTTGTTTAGGTAGAGCAGTCTTCTCACCCACTCCAAACTCAGTAGTAAACATGGTGTAAAATGCTATGCTAGTTTCATTTAAAGCTTCAAGCAGTGCAGTTTTCAACACTTCTAGCAGATTACACCATAGCATCCACTGTCAAGGAGGTCTCCTTGATATTCATCTTCATTTTCTGTTTTCTACTTTCATCCCTCTACTCCTAGCTATAGCCCAGCATATATAACTACATAATCCCTCCTTGAACAGCATTTGCATCTTTCATATACAGCACATATATAGCCTCAACGTCCAACACAGTCATCACTCTGCCGAGATACGCATAACTTAGCAGTTTTTAGTATCTCCTCATAAATCAATCTCTCTGTCCCTTAATTGTTTTTGGCACTATTATCTGAATTCCTGCCAGATTTTGGTAACAAGACAACTGAAACAGAATGCCACTTTCCAGTTGAAAATCTTAAAGCTGTTTAGATGCCTTATCTGCTTCCAAGTGCTTCTCTGACACAATAACACAGGCGGTTACAGTTCCCAAATACTTACTGCATATTTTTTATTCTTTAAAGTAAGAGCTGCCTTTAAAGTCTGCCTGGCATATAACCTGCAACATATAATGCAAACACTCCCAATTCCTCCAGCTCCCCCAAAGCACATTTATCACGAACATGCCGAGTCTCCTTCAGTCTGAAACCACTGCACACTTGCATAGCACATTAATTTTCCAGGTCATTTTAGGACCTAGAGTGTTGTTCCTCTACATAAGCAAAACAGTGAGCAGACACTTGGATATGCAAGAAAATGCCAGGTGCATGCTTAAAAGACACAGGGAAACAGGGAGATGAGCAGCATGTTATTATCAGCTGCAAGGTCCCATTGGAGCTACACAGTACAAGCTCGTGGGAATTTATGTAATTCATAACCAGCTTCTGGTGCATTTTCAATTGAGACCTGCCACTTGTCAGTCCACTACCTCAAGGATCCTCAAAGCACTTTTGTCGAAAACTCTTTATAGTCCACTTTTTAAAGTATAACCCAAAGTCATTTCCTTAGCCTTCAATCTTCTTTCTCTAGCTTCACTTGCTCTGCAGAGATGCTATCTCACTGCCATGGTCCTCCCAAGGCCCAAACTATACCGACAACAGACGGCAGCTTAAAAGATGTTCATGCTACTGGGGAAAGCACACAAATAAGAAAGGCAAGAACTCCAAGAAGCGGAGAGTGATAGACCACTATAAAGACTGCCCCTTTTGTTATCTTTGAAAGCTGGTGTCTGTTGTCCTCCTCCTGACCTTTAAATGTCATTAAGTATCTGTTGCAAGTTTGCCTACGGACACATGCTTTTATCAGCTCCTGATAAGAGCAACAGAGCTGCTGGATTGTACAGAACCTTTCTTCACTGTTATGATATATCCCTGCTAGACTTACAGATACAAGTGATCTGCGTATGCACTCACAGGAGGTTTAGCCCAAGTCAAGTGGTATTTCAGATGATCTCTCTGCTGTGAACTTCCCTGCAAGATGCAACACCACATCAAACTAGTGCATTGGCAGGCATGTCTGACTTTGAGAACCTCTTCCTCCCAAGAGATTCACTAAATAACCCTTTGGTTTTTTGTTGTTGGAGAACATGCATAAACAGAGAAATCTAAATGATGCTGAACAAGTAAGTCACATTCTTCAGTGACAAAAACCAGAAAAAAATTAAAAAATTTTGAATATTTGGCCAACTTGAGATACACCCGAGTGCAGAGAACCTGTCCCAAGTCAAACACTCAGCTTAAATCTCATTTCAAAATCAAAGGGGCCTTAAGCATCATACAGGCATTATATACAAACCAAGACTGAACTGTACCTTAAAAAATAAAAAGATCATGAGTGACAAGGAGAATACTTGACTCAGAAACTACAGGCTAACAAATGCCTCCTTTCTAAGTTCTATTAATTAGCTGACAGAAAAAGAAGTGCCCTCGCTTGCAGGTGGGCTTGCACTTACTGCAGTTCTCTTCATCGCTGCCATCGGGACAGTCTTCGAAGCCATTGCAGCGGAAGCGGCCGATGATGCAGTGGATCCCACTAGCGCAGGGAAAGAATGTAGCACCACACTTGGATTTGGCTTTTGCTAGCAGAAAATACAGACAGAAGATGGTAAGAAAGCCTTTGTAAAGGTTAGAGATCCTTTTGTTGCAGTACAGGATACTCTATAGACAGCAATGGTGGCACCAACGTTTAGTGCCTTCCTATCAGCTTGCTTTCGACTGCTTTAAGGTGGGGGGGTTTATTGTGAGATTTTACTTGCTTGGGTTGATTTTTCTTCTAGTTTATATGACTTACAGAATGACTCAAACATTCAAATTTAAATTTGACTAAAATAACCTATCAAAGCAAATTTAAATTGCTCAACACTCTGGAGTACAAGTGTGTAAATTTAGCAAGCAAGACACTCCTAACTGTCCCTTAAAGACCCATGTGAATTGACCAGCCTGGGAGCACTGGAGGAACAGTATTAAGAGGGTCTTACTTCACAGAGAACAAGACCAACTATATCCTTTGTGCATGGAAGTCTGCTGTAAATGTCACTGCCCAAGCATAACTCACAGAAATCACACAACAGTTTGGGTTGGAAGGGACCTTAAAATTCATCTAGTTCCAATCCCTACCACGGCAAGAGACACCTTCCACTAGACCAGGTTGCTCCAAGCCCCTGTGTCCAACCTGGCCTCAAACACTGCCAGGGATGGGGCAGCCACAGCTTCTCTGGGCAACCTGTGCCAGCGCCTCAGCACCCTCACAGGGAAGAACTTCTTCCTAATAGCTCATCTCAATCTCCCCTCTTTGAAGAAAACTATTTTGGAAGTTGTACGTGTGAATGTGTGAAGTCACTCCTTATGCTATGCAGAAACCAATCTTCCCACCCCCTTCTTTTA